CTAGACCTTTGGTTTCATGGTCTCCACCCCTTTCTTTCACAGCCACTGCTTTAATGTGCCTAAGAGAATCAAGTGTTCTTCTTGCTTTTCTCATACTCTGCCTTCTCCTCTTCATCCCCATCTTAACCAACCACTTCCCTGAATAAGCCAGTATAAGAGGAATTCCCCACTGCCCATCTTCATCTTAATTCAGGCCCTTTTCTTCAGAGGGAGGAGGCCACAGTGAGCTGGAGAATCTCACCCAGAGCTCAGTGGTGCCTTTTAAAAAGACATCCAGATGAAGGGACTGTGTGGTTTTCCACAAACCAGAAATGTCCTGTTAAAATCAGTGTGCCCTATGCTAATGGCTCTGCACCCTAATGACAGCAAAGAAAGTCACCCTGATCATTCACATAAAAGTAACATTTACCCAAAAAGATCAAAGACTTGAATATAATTTCTGCATCAGCTGCATCTTGCAAGCTGTTCTGCAACTTGCCAGACAGTGTTTGATATTTAGATAGTGTTTGTGAAAGGCAGATAAAAGGTTAATGGGAAATATCTCTGACAGTTGCTGGATGTAATTTAGAGATGGACTACAGCCATGTAGTTGCATACCAGATTTGGGGTTTGGCTCTTTATATTAGAAAGATAAGGCCCAGAAAGGGATACACACATTCAACCAGAGCTGAGTTTTCCAAAAAGACAGTTTCAGTCTGAAAAGGAACAGGCAGTTTAACATCCGAACCACCTGCTCTCTGTGATGCACCACCTTCCGGGCACTCTTTAAAGCTGTTAGGTGCTGGTGGTACCATTTAGTCCTCCCTCTCTTAGTACTTCCCAGAGAGGGGTTGAGGGTGGCAATGATGACCAGTTACTCATGTGTTAGTCCTTGTTTATCTCAGTAGCACAGAGCAAAACAAAACAACAAAGGTATTCCTCACTCTTCCTTACTGTTCTTGTTCCTATTGTTGATCAAACTGTGCCTTTTCTTATTCATTTCATGTTCTTGGGGCTTGTGTCTTCCCACACACCAGGCTGAACAATGTTCTGCTACAGCTTCTCTATTAAGAGAGTGATTTATTAAGGTGTTCAGAATATGACTTTCATTTCAACTGCATCCACTGAGGCTGATTTTTTTTCTTTTGTGTCTCCAAACTGGTTCCTCTTGCAAAATACGAATTTTTTTCCCCATCTCTGACTTATCCTTTAGCTCTTTCGAAATCGTTTTTGGAAAACATCATCTCAGCCTCCAATTGTGCTTTGAACTTCGGGGCTGTGTAAAAAAAGCTGTTTGGGAAGACAACTGCTAAGATGAGGCTCTGAACTTACATGGGCACAAATACCCAGAAACACTGAAGAGAGGCCTGAAACCATAGATTTGAAGGTACAAAATTTTGTGGCACTTGCATTATATATAATATCTCATTCAAATGACAACTTTTCTAGACAGAATGTCTCCCAGTGCCATTCTGGGAAATTAAATTCAGTGTTGAGTTTGCATAAAGAGAGATGAGAGCTACTTGCTGCTTCATCACTTTATGAGCCTGGTATCTGTACCATTGCTTAGCAAATTTTGCTTCCAGTAATCCTTTATTTCTTCAGAGCTGAGCACCAAGAGCACACTCCGAGCAATTCCTACAGAGAGACTACAAAACCAACACCTTAGAATCAAGTTATCACCTTTGGCTTATAATTAAAACTCCCAGGGCAATTAGTGGTACTTGCAGAGGCATTACTGAGCCTGTGATTCTTCTCTTCTGTGGGCTCCCCAGCATTTTTGCAGGTGGCTGAGGGTAGGCGAGTGCGCCTGGGGTAACATTCCTGTTTGCTGGGCTGCTGGAATTCAGCTACGCTCCTTAACAAAACAGTTTGGTTTAGACATTTTTAATGCATGTGCCACATGTAAGATGCATTTGGAGGAAAAACTAAGCAGAACTAAGGCACTGAAAGGTGAGGTTGTAAAATTGGTGTTTCTCAGCTTTGGTTAATATTGACTGTTAATCTTGTTTTCTCATGCCGCTGCTTTTTCTGGGGAGAAGATGTTAAAGAGCAGCCCAAAGTATCTGACAATGCCAAATACAGACCCAGTACCTCAGTAAATGCCTGTGTTGGAAATCAGCAGTGCAATTTGTCTGTCAGAGTTGGGTGTAGGGTAACAATTTAATTCAATTAATTCTGGCACTGTCAGAGATATTGGCATTCCCTTTTCACCTGTCGCACTGCAACACCTAAAGACTGGTGAGTGTGGACACACAGAGAGCTGTGCTGAACCATAGCAGAATTGCAGAGATGCTTTGGTCCCTGCTTAACTGAGCAAACTCCCATTTATGCATGTATTAGGTTTTCACTGCCTGTCGCCTGTTCCTCTCCCCCCTCTGCTTTTTCATGTTCAGTGGACTCTCCTCTCTGTGTCTCTGCCTCTCTCTCTATTTTTTTCTCCCTATTGTTCCCCACGTCACCAACTGTCACTCACTTCATAAAGCCGTCTGGCTCGGAGCTTAAATATTGCAGGGCAACTAAAACCCACCATCAGAGCCAATTCAGTCATATCTGCTCAGTCGTGCGACAAGATTGGGGCTTTTAGGGTAGGGAAGAAGAGAGACAAAAGTTCACTCTTCCCTGCAGAGTGCCAAGAGAGGAGGGGGACACGTTTCTTCGGTGGAGCCTTTCACAGCGGCAAGTTGCTTGCTCAACATCCTTAACCTGTACAGTCTTTTTTGCCGGTGGCGTGCTCAGGGTGCGACGTCCAGAAGCGCAGGGTGGGGGTCTGCAAGCGAGCCCATGGGAGTCAAGAACACGAGTCTGTTGACTCTGGGTGGGCTTAGGCGGTGTCCTGCTTTCTCCTCACGACAGGCAGTTTAAAGGGAGAAGATGAACTGCATAAATACATCGCTTACAGCTTTCTCTGAGACTCGAGGGGGCTGGCTGCTCCGCAGGTGGAATCCTAAACATTTGAACGGGTCGTGCCACTCATCATCAGTCCGCCCAATATTGTTGCTTGCGGTTGAGCAGACTGAGCAGCCTCGAACCACTTCACGTGCAGAAAACGGAGAGGGTGGTCATGGCAGAGTTTTAAAAAAACATGGCTGGTTTGGAAGTTGTCTAAGGAAGAGTTTAGCCAAATGTGAGCAAGCTGTGAGCAAGACAATTGGTGGAGTTAGCCAGGGAACGTTTTTCCTTCTCCTGTACAGTGAGTTTTCTGTCTGATAAGGTTTATCACATATCTTGTGTGCTGCAGTGCTAATGTTCGAAAGGTAGTGTGGCTACCAGCGTGACTCACAAAGAAAGAGAGGGATGGAGTTGACTGAGGTGCCTTGGGGACAGTGAAGTTTATACTGTGTGTAGTCATGTTCTTTACAGAGTTGCACATGATTGGTAACTGTTGGGTGTACTTTGCTCCATGAATTTGCAGAAAGAGAATGTTTAAATCAGTTTAGATAATGTATGTAAACAGCATAATCTTCTGCTAGACTTGTTAATGTAAGCGCTGACATTAACACACTCCTTTACACAACTTTAATGACTGAGAAAGTGGCAATTTTCTTCGGTGATTAAATTATATGTTTGCTGCTTCCTCCTGCGAGGTGTTTGTGCAAGCTGAAGGGCTGCGTTCTGTTTTTCCTTTTCTAACACGGGTGTCTGGGGTTAAAAGAATGTTACGAGGTTCGAAGGCAAGGAATGTGAGTCTATCCTGTTTGAGCAAAATGCCATCATAAGCATTTTTTTTGGATTGAAAATTGGTGAAACTCCCCAGAGCCGTAGAGCTCTCAATATTGTGCATGTTTGTCTGTGTGTGAATACGTACACACAGTAGTTGAGGCAGACTAGTATGCGTTGGTGTGTCATAACATATGGCATTACAAATATATCCCGGTGGTATCTGAAGGAGGAGGGAAGTTTAGATACTCAGATTTCCATGCTCTTGGCTCTGGCACTTTTTCCCAGTGCTTGTGTATGTGTGTCTGCATTTAGGAAACTATAGATGGAGGTAGTATCTAAGAGATGAACTTCTAGATCCCTGTGAACAGCTATTTTATGAATAATGTTCCCTGCTTCACTTGTCATGGTCCACCAGTTGGTCCTTCTAGACCACCTTAATATTCTGCATTCCTCAGAGGCTTCAAACTGCTGTGGTGTGTTAAAACAACACATCCAAAACAACTTTCCTTTTTGTTTCTCTCACACACAGATTTTCCCTTGCGTGAAATGCTATAGTGGGAAGTTCAGGATATGCAGGATGAAGTCCTGACCTAGGAATAATTTCTTAGCATGCAAAAATAATGACAGATGTAATATTTGACTTGCATCACTTGAAAATGGACTACTTTCTTAGCATATATATATAATGTATTCTATGTAGCAAAACTAGTCTGTGTAGTAGTTATGAGACTTATGCAGTATTACTAACATAGTAACGGTGTAGTAATTGCTGTTCTTACCTAACAGAGTGGTTGCTAATGTAGAAGTAATATACACAGTCTAGAGAGAATCCATGTTTATGTAGGTGCAAGATGGTAGCAAATGTGAGATCTATTTGACCCCTCTGTGGTGTTCTGGTGCAGGAGAGCTTGGGTGCTTGAAAGCCTCACTGTCTTTTCTAACCACTGCAGCTGCATGCTGATAAATCTGCTCCACTGTACTGCTGGGGAGTGTTTGTACATGTACGAAATCTAAGCAGGCTCACACAACCAAGCCTACAAGGCACCACAGAAGACTCTCACCTGGAAAAGGAGATAAATATACTCCCTGGCTGAAAAGTAATTGCCCATTTAGTGCCATGAAAGAAAGAATTTAGCAAGCAGCTTGCTCTGGCTTCCCAGCCCTTCTCCTGCTAATAAATCATTGTGATCAGGCAAATCAGCAAGTAAGCAAACGACCGTCTTTCTGTTCTCAAAGCATGTTAGGGAAATTCTGATTGAAAGCAGCAAAAGACATCAGTGGGAAAACCTGAAATCTTTTAAATTTGGCGTAATTTGTGGTCTTTCTCTTTCTTTTTTTCTTCCCTTAGACAGTAAGAAATGGGTGACTGGAGTTTCTTGGGGAACATTTTAGAGCAGGTGAACGAGCAATCCACTGTCATCGGGAGAGTTTGGCTCACGGTGCTCTTCATTTTCCGCATCCTGATCCTGGGAACGGCTGCCGAGCTGGTGTGGGGAGATGAACAGTCAGACTTTGTGTGCAACACCCAGCAACCTGGTTGTGAGAACGTCTGCTACGATGAGGCCTTCCCCATCTCCCACATCCGGCTCTGGGTCCTGCAGATCATTTTTGTATCCACGCCTTCACTGATGTACTTTGGGCACGCTGTGCACCACGTCCGCATGGAGGAGAAGAGGAAAGAGAGGGAGGAAGCTGAGCGGCGTCAGCAGGCTGAGGTGGACGAAGAGAAGCTGCCCCTGGCTCCAAACCAAAACAAAGGCAACAACCCTGATGGAACCAAGAAGTTTCGCCTGGAAGGTACTCTCCTTAGAACGTACATCTTCCACATCATTTTCAAAACCCTCTTTGAGGTGGGATTCATAGTAGGTCAGTACTTCCTGTATGGCTTCCGGATTCTCCCCCTTTACCGCTGCGGGCGGTGGCCCTGTCCCAATCTTGTGGACTGTTTTGTCTCCAGGCCCACGGAGAAGACCATCTTTATTATGTTCATGCTGGTGGTGGCTGCCGTATCCCTCTTCCTCAACCTGGTGGAGATCAGTCACTTGATCCTGAAAAGAATCCGGAGGGCTCTGAGAAGACCAGCAGAGGAACAGCTTGCAGAGGTCCCAGAGAAGCCTCTCCCTGCCATCACGGTCCCCTCCATCCCAAAGGCCAAAGGCTACAAGCTGCTGGAAGAAGAGAAGCCAGTGTCCCACTATTTCCCTCTCACGGAAGTAGGGGTTGAGCCCAGCCCACTTCCATCAGCCTACAATGAGTTTGAGGAGAAGATTGGAATGGGACCATTGGAAGATCTCTCCAGGGCATTTGATGAGAGGTTGCCATCGTATGCACAAGCGAAGGAACCAGAAGAGGAGAAAGAAAGAGCGGAGGAGGAGGAGGAGCAAGAAGAGCACCCTCGGGAGGAGCCAGGGGTGAAGAAAGCAGAAGAGGAGGTGGTGAGCGATGAAGTGGAAGGGCCTTCAGCACCTGCTGAACTCACCACCGATATGAGACCCCTCAGCAGGCTAAGCAAAGCCAGCAGCCGGGCCAGGTCAGATGATTTGACTGTATGAAGGTGCAGGATACAGGGAGCACATGAAAAGGAAAAAGTTGAAGAGAAAAGGAGAGGTAGAGAAAGAATCAAAAGATATTTTTAAGCAAAGCGCAAAAATGGCCATTTGAATATTATGAATATTTATGAATTCCCAACTGGAAAGGTACTACCATGGTAACTGTGCCTTATTTGCCCTGTGTGTCCCTGTATTTCCCTGTTTCCACATGCCAGCTCACTCCTTCCAGTAATATCTACACTGTACACATAACTCATGTATTTTAAAACCTAACATGGCAGTGATACTCAAATGTTGCCACTGTGAACATATTTACTGAAAGCCTTGTATTCCACATTTCTCTAGGAATGTGGGGAGGATCTGTCTTTCAGCCAGGAAGGGGGAAGACTGATCAACAACTGTATCTAGTCCTTCTTTTTCTGTTTCCACCTATGGCTCACTGAGCAGATCTCCCTTTTGATGTTGGCATGGAATTGCAGTTAAATTTAATTCACAAAGTGAATTCTGTGCTTAGCATCAACACACTAAAATAGTAAGCCCAACTTCCCTTCTCTATCCAGAAAATAAAATCCAAAAAATGTTCCCAATTTCTCTGTGAATGCATATCTGAGTTAGGTAAAAATATTTGCCCTTTGTCAAAAATATTTCTGCTCTCCCTTCAAGTGACACTGACAGTGGGCAAGGTTAACAGTAATCTCTACTAGGATTTAGGAGATGCCCAGAGATGGATTATTTGTTCCCAAGAGGGTCACCCAGCCCTGAAACTATTTCAGTATACTGGAAAGAATAAATTCAAGTGATATTTTTTACTTGAGCCTTGTGACTTAAAGATCTGAAACCTGATTTAGCCAAACAAGCGTGGGAAGGCTTCTGAGAAAGGAGGGAACAGCTACAGCCCCCAGAGCATGAAACCAAATACAAGCCTTCATGGTATGATCCTGACATGTGTTCAGTTCCTGGAGCTTCCAGGCACTCAGCAAATCTCAGGTACAGAGTCCTGAAGGCACCTGTGGACCTATACCAGGGGTCTGGGTAGCTGTGTGACTTTTTAAACCTCTAAATATAAAACTGGTTGGTCAAGTTTGAAAAGACTGATGTGGTAATAGTCTTTTGACATCTTTTGTTTTTAATTTGACAGACAGGAGCCATTCGGTGGGCTACTTCTCTACTAAATGCCGAAGTCTCACTCAAGTAAGACAAGGCCTTTCAAAAGATGATTTAGACCTTTTGTGCCAACAGGTCTGTACAGAACTCTGAGACTCAGAAAAATATTTTTTACGAAAGGCAGAAAATCATGTGCTTGCAATGTTTAGATGTCTAATATAGATTTCTAAGTTTAGGAGTACAGCAGCACCTTTTTGGCTGGGACAGTGCAGCAATGTGTTCAAAAGCTTCAGGTTAGCGGCTGTGTCCCCCCCAAAATTGAGCCTCATGCCAAAAAAGTGCAGGTATGCACTCTCATCTGCTCTGCTCTGCAAACCTCGGACCCTGCCATCTCAGCAAATTCTTTCTGCTGGGCTGCAGCCTATCCCATTGTTCCCAGGGCAGGCTTTAATCCAGGTCAGGGAAAAAAGGTCTCTGGCACAATGCATAAAACTCATCCCGCCATCAGCTAGAAAAGACCCCCGCGGCCTCCCATTGTCGCAGGTCTGAAGTCAAATGGGCGTCTGCGAGAGCTCTGGGTAGGCTCGGGCTCACACCTCCAGTCCCGCTGCCCCACGTCCCAGCCCGGGCAGCCACCCGTACAGTCGGTCCTGTCACTCGCTGCTCTAACCCAGTGTGGTGGAGTTCCCCTGCCCGAGTCACGCAGCTGCCCTTGGAGAGCGCAGACTTCACTGCTGAGTGACGTTAAGCTGTACATATGTAGAAAGTTTGTAGGGTACACTGGGGTTCTTCAGCACGTATTTTATTAATTTTTACACTGTTAATCCTTTTGCTCCTCTTGGGCCTGTGCATTTTCCCTAAGGTTTGCAGAGGTTGTTAGGTTGTCCTTTCTTGCGAAGGAAGACTGGAAGGTACCTCCTCAGTTTTGGGAAGGAATATGACAAAGCAAAAGGACGTGCAGAGAGAGTGTCTGTAGGTTACCATTTATCCACGCTCCTAATACAAGAAACAGGAGAACAGTTATCACAGATGAAAGGCAACTGAGGAAAGAGAATGTTTTTCAGAAGGAAAAGAGTCCACTGTGCCTAATTCAAGATACTTGAATTCAAGAAAGGGCAAAGATTTAGATGAACCACAAAATCACCACATTTATGCTAGATGGGATCTATTACTTTTCTGTTTTTCCCACAGAAAGCCAGCCCACTTGCTGAAGGAGCTTGGAAACGTTCTTTCCTGTAGGTAAAACCCAAAACCCTGTAAAGGTTTAGTATGAGGTGTCTTCTGCCTTCTTCAGAGCATCTGACCCTTCCAGGTAACAGTGTACTGGACTAGATGAATCATGCCCACCCTTGTTGCCTTCTAATTGACCATTCCACTCCTGCTCTCAACCTTGGACATTCAAACCTTCGTTAGACCACAGGGCTACTTAAAGATGAGTGTTTATTCATCAGGAGTGTATGGTTCACAACAGGGCTGTCAGGCAGGTCAGTCTTTAATCACCACATGTTGGGTATGCCATTCTTTCTCACTGTAAAATGCACTATATGCACTCGATGGACACTGTAGTTCTTCCACAGCCGCTGCAGGAACGCTTGATTCTTCCTCCGGGTCACCACTGTGCCGTGAGACAAGCCAGCATTTTCTTCCTGCATCCAGTCACCTGCTGGACTTTTTTTTTTTTAAAAAAAAAGCACCAGTTTTAAGTACCCTGCCAGGCTGCTGGTGAATCTGTAGCCACCAAGGACGGGCCACGGCATCAGGACGTGGGCAGGGAACGGATAGTCCGGTCTTCTGGCATTCGGCCTCATCTCTGCAATGAAATCACTGTGGGACTGTCAGCAGGTCATTCTTCCTTCTTGTGCAATTGGCAATAATTTTCTACCTTACAATGATGATGTGAGGCTTGGTATATTGTGTTGGTAATGGAAAGGGAGGTCCTTGGATGGAAGGCCCTACAGATGAGCAAAGGATTATTGCTGTTTCTGGATGTGATAACATATAAATGTGTTTTATTCCCTCTCAATGAGGCAAATTTAAATGTTTATTCAAGAAATTCCTAGCAAAGGTGCATAACAGCCTCAGAGCTGTGGATTCACTGTATGATTCCACTTAAAAATAATTATGCAAAACATACATATATATATATATATGAAGAACAGTGAAAATTATCTCCTTTGGAAGGGGGAAGTAACTGGACAATTAGAGCCATGCCTGGGTCATTTAAAGGTGTGTTTACCCCCTTGGCTCCCTGTGCAGATAAATTACTAACTGATCACATGGCTCGCTGCAAGGGGCGTAAGATGCAAGTGTCAAAATCACCAAAGGAGGTGATAGTAGAAGAGAAAGGTAGTCTCTTAGCTTACAATAGCATGTGGGGGTTGGTGTTCTCTAGTGTCTAGAGCAGTGGACCTAGGATAATAATAGATTTATTTCCAGCTCTGCTTCTGACTTGCTGTGATAATCACTTTACCTCTCAGTGCCTGTTTTCTCCACCTGTAAAATGGGTGTAAGAATTTCCACCTACCTCACAGGGATGTTGTGAGGCTTCCTTAATTCTGTTTGTAAAGTAAGTAGGAATGATCTGATGAAAAGCACTGCTGAAATGCATGGTATCCTTGTTATTTCCTGGCAGAACTGATAACTCAGTTAATTTATGACTCCTCGACCAGAAGGGCAGTAGTTTGGAAATGTGAACGCTGCACTGCACTGACAACATTAACACAGATGTGGATTTGCCATGGGTAAAAAAGACTTTATTGATTACCTCACCCTTCTCTCCCACCTTAGCCTTGGCCTTGGCATATAAGAAGCTGTGGTGACAGTGTGGTTACATGGACCCCTCTTCATCCCCAGCATCCATTCTGGGGTAGAATTTATGCTTAAATAAGGCAGCTCCTGGAGTGTGGGGTTTGGGTTGGGGGGAGCTCTGACAGTTTTAAAGTCCTTGCAAGGGAGAGGGTTGTATCACACAGTATATTGCTGGGCTTCTGTTTTAAACCACTCAGTGTCATAGACACCAACAATCTGAAACAAAACGAGGTACAGATTCCTCCTCCTGTAGGAGGGAAGAGATTTGGGGGGGGATCTCTGCTCTCTAGGTCTGTGTGGGCATGAAATCTACTTACTGAGGGGGGAAGTCCCATCTCTCCTGCCACTCAGTAGCTCACTGACTGTGCAGTTTTACATTTAAAGAGCGGCTGTGTCACACAATGATGAAAAAAGGGGGCAGTTTGCTGTTTTGTATAGAAAATGGCTTTTCAGGCTGACAACTGAAAGTAATCCTAGCCTAGGCATAGTTTTGTTTAGTAAAGACAGGAACATCCATGAGAACTAGACTAAAGCCTTCCTGTAAGCCCAAGGCAGTTGTGATAAAACAGTATATGGTGCCAGATTTCCTGAGGGCCAGGGTTGGATAAACGTACCAAAATCAGGGGACTTGTCTAAGTACTGGAATAAATTTTTTCCCCAAAAGAATGACACCACCACTTTTTAGGCTCTGTGTATGCTACACCTTTTAACATGGCTCAGGAAAGGCTTTTTGCCAACACCAAATGTGCTCATACAGCTGAGTAGTAACCATGGCAAACGAATGTGTGTCGATTTGCCAAGGCATAGCCTGGCACACAATCCTTTCCTGGCAACCAGCTTGGCATGCACCTAGCTCAGCAGAAGAGGCAAGACTCATGCATCTGTCAACAATGCAAGCTTTTCTCTCAGCAACTTGATGTACAAAGAGACATTGAAGGTTTGTGCAGCCTAGAGAGGAGGGGAATCAGGGTATAGGGAGCCCTAACTGCTGTCCTCAGGTACCTAATGGGGAGTTCCAGGGAAGATGGAGGCAGACTCTCAACAGAGGTGCACAGTGAAAGATCAGAGGCAACAATCACAACAAGCAGCGA